CCAGGTATAAAATGCTGCCCAGAGATTTGTGCTAAGAGGATGTTTTGAGGTAGCTGACTGAAACATGCCTTTTGCCTCTGTGAATATGAGATTGGAGTTGTGACACTTGATATTTTATGTTTAATTCTATAGGAGTTTATTTTTTTTCATGTTATCTCCTCACTGTAAGAAAGGAGGGGGAGCCCCCAGAGAAGGGCTGCCTTTAGGTATGGGCTCAGCTGTCCTAGCCTGGCATTTAGGGGCATTTCAGAAGGGATACTCGTCATATAGGGTGTGTGACTGACACTGGGTTTTGAGAGTTGACTACACTTCAAATGGCTTATTTATGCAGCAGTTCAAGATTGCAAATTCGTTTGATGCTTATGGCAAGGCTCAGTTTTGAACACTCCTAGTCATGTGTCAGAGTGAGGTAATCATTGTGGATGTCTGTCCTTGGCTTTCCTTGTCCTTTTGCACAGCTTTCCCCTATTTGGGTAAGCGGGAAATGAGAGCATCCAACTGCCATCTTTCCCGTTTTGCTTCTGCTCTGTTAGATATTGCTGGCAAAGCAAATGGGAAATCAGAGTTGTCAGCCAAAACCCGATTGTTGCTCACAGTGAAAAAGAAAATATGCACTCCCCTTTGCAAATCCAGTCGTTTTGTATCTACTTTTGAGGGGTTTAAGTGATACATAGACTTGGCCAGGAAAGATCCCATAGAGTCTCAGTGATGATTTGCTGCTGAATACTGTAATTTCAAGGATGCAGCTCTATTGTGTTGGAATTCACAACGGTGCAGGGTCACAAGGTCTTTGCTTAGCTGAGATCTATCTAAGAGCTTCACTTCTATCCTAGGTAAATTCATGTAAATGGTATGACTACCATGCTTCTGCTTCAGACTAGCTTGCTATCTCCAACCCTCTGTGCACTTTCTCCATAAAAAAATTACTTGCCAATTATAAATAGTTAGCTCTTATGTTAGTACAGCAGGGACTAGAGACAGAATCCTCTGTTGGAGCTTTTATAGGTGAAATTAATTAAATGTTACATTGTTGGAAATGCTTCTTTTTAAATAAACAGCGTGATTTCCAATGCATTAGACTAATTCAGCCAAGCTTAGGGCTCTTCACTAAGGCTAGTGGCCACAAAATAGTATTCACACCTATTTGACATACAAAGGTTTCAGTAGCTTTCTTTGGTTTTTACAGTAGGAAAAAAGTGTTGATTTTTTCAAAGTGCTTCCCTCACACATCTCAAAATCATTGTTTTCATTCTTAGCACTTTGGAGGGTTGGAAGACGGCTCCCTGATTGAGTATTTTGCTGCTTACAAGACACCAGAGTGCCAAGTGAGCATGAGCCCTTTTCCACTGGAGCTGGATAGCAGTCACAAATCATGTTTATGTAGGCCACCAGCCAGTCATTGTGTGGGAAGCACCTTGAATTCCTACCAGAGGTTTCTTTTGCAAGCCTCTGTTACTACCACTTTATTTCATCATGTGTAGGTTTAAGTACTGACATAGGATACTTTCCTCTTTCTGTAATATTTTGACTCCTATGAGTTCTTGACTGTAATGCACCATATATTTTTGACAGTCCATGTTCTGTATTACTCTATTCTGTCCCAATCCCGTCCCATCCTGTCCGTCCCCCCCCCCCGTCACCCCCCCAGTTCTTTTTCCATACCACTGTAGCACCAAAAAGCCCCTGTTTCTCACAGCCTTTAGCTAGGCATCACTACTGGTGTGGCAAAGTAGCCTGTCTGTCTTTTTTCCTATGGCAGCGAGGTCCAGGTGACTCAATCCATGGTCCACATACGCACCTCAAGCATTAGTGCTCTGATGGGGCGGTCATCCCTTAGTCTGGGCGTGGCTAAAATGCTCAGTGAAATCCAAGGAAAGAAATGGTAGTGATTTTAAAAGGGGCTGTTTGAATCTGAATCAGATCTGCAATGAGAATAAGATTAGGAAGTCAGCAAGGACTACCGTGTAGCACTAAAAATGAGGGTATAGAGGAGGAACTTGCTACCCAGAAGTAAATCCTAATCCAGTGGTCACTCTGTCCTAAAGGAGAGGTTGAGCAAAGGTGAGGGACCTGGGAAGAGAAGCAAAGGAGGACTGAAAGAGCTAGTTTGAGTTTCTACAACTGCATACCTAGAATGGAGATGAGATACTGCTTATCTTTACCTAAGGAGTTCTCCTTACTAGGAGAGGAGGCATCTAGCCACAGCTGTGGAAGACTGGAAATGTTCTTGCAGCTTGTTAAGTGCGGGTAGCAGAACTAGATTGATGCATTTATGTGGTGTTTATTCTTGCAAAGGTGAACTTTAGCTTTCTGGTAGAGTCCCAAACACCTCAATCAAAGAGCCGTGTTGAAAACTTAAAAGGGTTGTTGAGCACTGAGGAAGGAAATGGGTAGAGATTGACTGTCATATCATCTTGAGTTGTGGATAAATGAACCTTTGAACTGCCCCCTGCTACAGTCTTTAAGGTCTGAATATGACGGGAAATGTGTTCTTTGGTGTCTGTCTGGGTTTGGAAGTATAGAGTATATATATCTCAAAGTATAATGAGGTTGATAAAAGTTTTGAGTGTATCATAGAATAGTTAGGGCTGGAAAGGACCTTAAGATCATCTAGTTCCAACCCCCATGCCATGGGCAGGGACACCTCACACTAAACCATCTCACCCAAGGCTTCGTCCAACCTGGCCTTGAACACTGCCAGGGATGGAGCATTCACAACCTTCCTGGGCAACCCATTCCAGTGCTCAACACCCTAACACGGAAGAATTTCCTCCTTATATCCAATGTAAACTTCCCCTATTTAAGTTTTAACCCATCACCCCTTGTCCTGTCACTACAGTCTCTCCCCAGCACCCCTATAGGCCCCCTTCAGGTACTGGAAGGCTGCTATGAGGTCTCCACGCAGCCTTCTCTTCTCCAGGCTCAACAGCCCCAACTTCCTCAGCCTGTCTTCATATGGGAGGTGCTCCAGGCCCCTGATCATCCTCATGGCCCTCCTCTGGACTTGTTCCAACTGTTCCATGTCCTTCTTATGCTGAGGACACCAGAACTGCACACAATACTCCAGGTGAGGTCTCACAAGAGCAGAGTAGAGGGGCAGGATCACCTCCTTTGACCTGCTGGTCACGCTGCTGTTGATGCAGCCCAGGATACGGCTGGCTTTCTGGGCTGCAAGCCCACACTGTATCAGTGTTTATAATTGTTGAAATCACAGTTAGGTGATGCCAGTAATTTTTTTGTTTCCCCGGTAGAAGACAATGCTTTTATTGTTAAGTTTAGAGACAGTAAATCATAGAATTATGAAATGATTTGGGTTGGAAAGGACCTAAAGATCATCTAGGTCCAACCCGCGAAAGTACCATGAGAGAAATCCATGCTGGAGGTTTTCTGGCAGCTTCCCTTGTACTTTCTTACTTTGACAAGGATGGAAAGTGCAGGTCAGGGCTGAGAGCTCAGCCTCCATAATGCCATACAGCCCTCACTTGTATATATTTTGAGGGCAGACAGGAGCTGAGAGGGAAAGCTGCATCTTTCACATTCCCTTTTGATGTCTCCAACTTTCACAGAAGAAAGGTGGTTCATTGAGAGCAAATGTGGGGCTTGCTGTCTGTATCATTCCCTATCTGTAAAGTGGAAGCAGTATTTTGTTGTGATGTTTGGGTAATTAACAAATTAATGTTTGCAAGCTATTCATACATGGAGACCCTATTTTGTCACTTACTGATCATCATCATCATGAAATACAAAATTTCTCAATGGTATTATCCAAGTCTTCTCTGGAACTACACATGAAACATGGTATCTCCTAAAATGCTGTTCCTTGCAGCCTCTTGAGGTGTCTCAGCTTAGGCTTTTGCATAGAACCATAGAGTAGTTTGGGTTGAAAGGGACCTTCAAAGCTCATCTAGTCCAAGCCTCCTGCAATGAGCAGGGACATCTTCATCTAGGTCAAGTTGTCCAAAACCAAAACAGTGCTTTGGTCTGGGGTGGGGGGTAGCAGGCATCTGTCTGCGTCTTCTGGAGACAACAACAGAGCTTTGGTGGTAGCTTGATGAGAAACTACGTGTGAAGCCACTGTGAGACCTCTACTGCAGTTGAGGTACAGTGGGGGAAAAATGCCTAATTCGGCCATTCCTGAGTTTACCTTGTTAGGAAGGGTCTGAGTGCTCTGTGTATAGCAGCTGTAGTCACCAGCAGTCAGACCTGTTGTGCAGTATCATGGAATCACAGACTGGTTTGTATTGGAAAGGACCTTTAAAGCTCATCCAGTTCCAACCCCCTGCCACGAACAGGGATGCCTCACAGTAGACCATGTCACCCAAGCTCCATCCAGGCTGGCCTTGAACACTGCCAGGGATGGAGCATTAACCACTTCTCTGGGCAACCAGGAGACCCTACCTGGTCAAAATGAGTTTGATCCCATACCTTTGTACCATGTCTCTGAAGGGCAGGATTTGCCCCACAGCGACCAAGCAGTTGTCTTTCATTTCCAACATGCAGCGAGTGTCATGAGTGGACATATTTTGGATTCCAGCCGGGGTTTCCTGTTACAGTTTTTATATTTGACTGCTTTTGTGATTTGTAGAAACTTCTGCCAGCTGTCAACTGAAGAACAAGTGGCAATCTGCCTTCTCAAGCAAATGAGGCCCCCAGGTTTATTTTCAGTTTCATGTTTGTTATGCTTACTGTAGGTTGAAAACCCTGGCATAACATCCTTGACCCTTAGTAAGATATGTAGTGATTGCCTGCCGTGGTTAGAGTATTAACTAACTTGCTTCATGCAAGTGCAAAGAACAGAAAGTCCTGACCCACGTAATAATCAATTTAGTAACTGAGGAGGTTTCACATTATGGTCTCCACAGAACGAGCAAAGGGACATTTGATGTGGTACAAACACTGGGTGCAAATAAAGGGTAGCAGGCACTGAAAATCTTACAGTTATTATAATGTATCTTCTCTTTGTGTCTCTCTGATTTTTTTGTTTATTTGTTTTTGAACAGATTGAAAACATAGATGCATGCCTGAGTTTCTTGGCTGCTAAGGGAATTAACATCCAGGGGCTGTCAGCAGAAGGTGAGTCAATCGGTGGCTTAAAATTTCAGTTTTAAATGAGAAACCTGAATTACTGCTTGTGATTGCAACCAGAACATGAAGTGGCATGGGAGGTTAGTTTGGATAATTTAATTTTTTGGCAGTCTTTACTTCTTTTTTTTTCCCTGTCTCAGTATGGAAGGTGAATAAAATGCGTATCTAATTTCCACAAAGCTGACTTGTAAAAATAATCAGTGAGACTGTATTGGAATTCAGTCATTTCTTTGTTTCTTTCTGTTAAAAATCCTAGAAATTTCTCATCTAAGTTCTGTAATGGGCACAGTACGGAATAATATCATTATATTATTTTTAAATTTTACATTTTACAGATATTCAAGGTGAACTGCTGGCAGTTGCTTGCTTTGTGAGAGACATGATTTTCTTATTCTTCAATTATTCTTTTACCTGAAGTAGTATCCTTCATTGCCTTTATGGTTAGAGGCATGTTTTCTTTCTCTGAAGGAATCCTGTGGCTCAAACAAGGAAGGCAAGCAAGGATGTGTAGGTGTGGTGGGCTCACTCCTAGCATGATGGGAGAGAGAATAGGAAGTGGAGGAGTGAGGCAACACATAAGATAGTTTAATGAGTGAAGGAAAGAGGCTTAAAACCAAACCAAGTGATGCAAAGGCAGTCACTTACCATGTCCCACAAGTAGACACCGTGCCAGTATTGCTCAGCAATAGCCAAAACACTGGTTCCTTATCAACACTGGTTTAGTCACAAATCCAAAACTCAGCACTATGCACTTTATGACAGTGATTTGAAGTCTGAGCTGAAGCACACTTTCACTTATCAGTGGTAGATGTGTATCAAATGTATGCCAGATAACCACTGGGGATGAACTTTATGGTGAAACCATCATGTCCACAGCTTTTATATACATACATTACATTAAAAATAAAAAAATTAAAATGTTTATTAAATTACTATGTTATTGTATAATACACATTTCTAGTTAATAAAATTGATAGATTTAAAAGTTATTAAATATTACCATTTAAAACTGCATTTTGACAATTTGGAAAATGGCTTCAAGAATTCCTTGCTGTCCTCAAAAGAAAGCCTCCTACCTTATCCTAGTCTGTGAGATCTTAGAAGCCACTTCAAAAATGTGTAATTGAAATGTAATTTTACTAATTTTGAGGTGGTTTGTAAGCATGGAAAACAAAGTAGCAGATAGTACACGTTGTTCTAACTTGAATATACCACAATTAGTAGAGGAGGAGGCTGAGCGTTAGCTGTCTTTTTCTGTGATGTGTCCTTAAGCTGAGTTAGAACACCAATATTTTCCTCCGAAGAGGAGTTTTAATATGGACATCCCGACTACTGCCTGCATTCTATGCCTCAATAATTCAGTTAGAATAAGAGGGATTTTCGTGTCAAGAAAAGAAAGTATGAGCTAAAACTTTTTACGTCAGAAAGTTTGATTACCGGGAAATTATTAAAAAGCAAATGCAACAGCGTTTGCTGTAAAATCCAATTTCGAGTTTGAACCGGTACGTGCTTATTGTAAAAATATAATAAATTTCACATTATTTCCTTGTCTTGGTATGATGCGAAATCTAAAAATCTCAGCATGTTAGTTAATGAGAGAAGTGTCTGGGTGTGCAAAGTTAAGTGTAGCATTGTTCACACTGGGTTAGGGACAGCATGATGAATAGTCATTGTTCTGCCACCAAATCACAAGGCAGACTCAGTAGGATATATCCCATGGCTTAGCTGAATTTGTTTGTCTCCATTTCTTTTACACTGTCTAGGAATTAACATACTAAATCATACAGAAGCTAGGAACATATCAATAATGTTTGCTGTCAACATAGGAATGAGAACATTTGCTGACTCTACCACTAAATTGAGGAAAAAGTGACAGCTAGAGTGGGGAGAGAAGGAATAGATTTTATAAGATACGAAGTCTTAAATTCAACAATCAATTCGATTTCTGTTCTTGGTCTCGCCTTAACTTGCTGTGGAAGGAGCGGGAAACTAAACAAGAGAGAGCACAGAATCACTGAAAATGAAGAGTGCTGTAACCAAGCACGCCAGTGTTTCTGCACAACTTGCCAAGACTTGCTAGGTCAACTGCAGATTGTTTACTTCTCTGGCAGCTCCTCATCTAAGAGGAAGGAGTAGATTGTGATTACTTCCAAATGGGAATAAACATTGAAGTCTCACTTGGGTTGCTTGAGAAGGTGTATTTTTCACTAGTGCAGTTTTAGCGTGGAGAGAAGTGAATGATTCAAAATTGGATTTTGGACAACTCCTAAATGTTGAAATAATTTGGGACTTGTGTCTCATCCTTCCAGTGTTTAAAACCACTGCTTTGATATGTGCATGCCACTTTATACATAGTCTTTTAATTTTTTTCTGGATTTATGCAGTGAAGATGCTATGGATCTGCAGTTACTGATGATGACCATACTATGCTACAGACAGGCCCCTTCCTCAGCAACATAGAGCCAAAAAGTCATTCCCTTCTCCAAGATTTTAAATCTTCATTTGTAGTTACTAAAGAAAACTATGGCGATGCTGGAAAATTCTCTTCTTGCTGCAGTTTTTTTTGTTGCCCGTTGCTGTGAGCTGTCTCTCCAAACCCATGCTGGAAAATTCTCTTCTTGCTGCAGTTTTTTTGTTGCCCATTGCTGTGAGCTGTTTCTCCAAACCCATGCTCCTAAACTTGTTTCCACACCAAGGTGGGTTTTAGATTATGGGAATTGCAGTTGCCCAGCTAAATTTGACCCCCTTCACACAACATCTCCTCGCTGTCAAAGATTTTGAAGGTTATGGAGAACACAAGTGTGCAGTAGAAACTCAAATTGATGTCATAGGTAGGCAGCTGCACCTCTTCTGGGTAACAGATTAGCTGGATAATAACCAGCTGAACAAACCATGAAGCCATAAAGTGATGAAATAAAATGTCTCGCTAGACTTCGGAACAACACGATTCAGTGTAGACTTTTGCCTCTGAAATTACATTCCTGCTCCTGTAGGTAAATGAATTTCAAAGCACACACTGCAGTATTGACAGTTCCTCCATTTTAGGTCCTTTAGGTCCTTTCCAGTGTCGGGGTGGAATTTTTTATTTCTGCAGCATATCTATCCCACGGCATTATTTGAAGTGTATGTGGGTAGGACACTTCCCATGCTGCCAGGTTTTGATTATGCCATGTTACATTATGCCATGTACAGTTATCTACAGTCTTCAAGTAATTGCTCTTTAATTATCAAAACATGCCTGCAGATCTAATATGTGGTGTGGGAATTAATTATTTCATGCATTTTCCTTCCTTAAGCTAAGGAGGATGCAGTGATTCATATTTTGTACTCCTGCTAGCCAGTTTGGCTAACCAGTCTGGTCTATGTAACTGGTTCTGGGTTTTTTTAGTCCCATGTGCTTTATAGAATCAGATATAAAATAAGTTTTAAGAAAGATGCAAACAAGCTTGACTAAGTAACAGTGATAGACTGGTTTTTTTTTGTTCATTGGTTTGCTTTGATCTGTGTTCTGTACACAGTGAGTAGTTTATGATCTACAGGAATTTCATTCACAAGTGTTAGAGGAATCGGATAACATTTCTCTCATAGTCTATCCAGCAGACCTTTCTTTGCCTTTTCTTTGTTCTGAGCTGATTTGCCCACACACACACACACCAATTTCCACCGAGTCCGGTGTATTTTTGTGAAGACAGAGAAAGATGATGGGCAAGTGGCAGTGATGGAAGTTGTAGCTTGTAGGGGAAACAAGCAGGGATGGATTGATTCCAGGAGGGAAATATCCAAAGAGTAGATTTGTGGCAATTCTCCAACAAACCAAATTCCAGTTTCCTCTCAGATGTTGAGAGTGTTCATTTCCAGTACACATGACAGTCATTTTGGGCTCCAAATTTCAAATGGGTGGGTGACATATATATTCTGATTGAAGTTAATACACAGAGTAAGCTGAGGCAGGGACTGGAGGGGACTTGCAGCCGGAAGCAGTTGAGACTGCCGCACTGGGCAGAGTGCAGTGAGGTTGGAATACTCTTTGAAACACTCTTTTTGTACAAAGTGCAAGCTCCAAGTGCATTACCTCAGTCTGTCTTTAAGATAAGAGGAACAAAATTACCTCTCAAAATCCTGTTTGAAGTATTTTGCTTAAAATCCAGAGGGAAAGAGACTGCTTCTTTTGAAACTTGTTTTTGATTTTGATTATTCTTTTTTCGTCACCTCAGAAAAATGTCAAAAGCAGGTTGCTTTTCTGATAAATACAGCAGAAGATAAACAGCCACAGAGAGCCACAGGTTTAGGTAGGTTATTGTAGAACCACCTCTCACTTCACATGAAAATCAGGTCCTCTTTTCCAGTGCACAGAATTTAAATGTGCAGACCCATGGTAGTTTCTTTATCTTCTGGCCTGTATTTGTGCAGTTAAACTTCCCAGTGTCTCTGAGTCTGTTTATTTTTGCTTCTGCCTGTGATTAAGTGCTACTTTCCTTACAGTTCCCATGAGTTCTTTGCTGAAGATAAGGAGAATGTGGGGTTTTTTACTGTACTTTGCTGTCTCTTGGTATGTTTTACTTTATTGTGTACTTCCATCCCTGTCCTCCCTAGCTAATCACAGGTGGATTAGAGAAGGAAGCTGCCCAATGCATATGCTGGTGGCAGGGGCCGAAGGCTGGGTTTGAGGCATGGCACTGTATGGGAGCAGGAGTGGACTGCAGAAACAGAAAACATGCAGGAGTCATTGGAACCCCACTATTCAGAATGAGACTAAAATTGGCTAAGAAAACACAGGAAGACAAAAAATTCAAGTTCAAGGGCCCTGGGATTTATAATCATTTAAACATGGGAATGGGGGCAGTGATGGGAGAGAGTGCTGGGGAAGCGCCTGGGCTGCGGGGAAGCAAAAATGGGTGAGGAGATTCAGTCAAGAATAGGAGAGGGAAGGAGAGCAACATCCTGGGTCTGTGTAATGACCAGGACCATTTAGACATGGTGTAGGAGTCTCTGGGGAGATGGGCAGAAGACAAAACAAAATTAATAGAAGGGAGGAAGTGTACATTAGGTTAGTGTGTGGGAAGAAGAGGTATACTGAGGTATGGGTAGAAAAGAAGACCAAAGCTGGAAGCTGGTATAGAAAGCAGAGTGAAATTTTGTCATGAGCCCGAGATTTGTTGTGTAAAGGGCTTGGGGTTATGAAGAGAAGCTCGTTACACAGCAAAGATAAGCAATGTGAGCAGAAAGTGGCCGGGAGAGCGCATAAAGGGTGGAGCAGGGCCCATCACAAAGTTAGAGCAACCTTTCAGCCAGAACTGAGGAAAGAAATTGAGATTCTGGTTCTCGCCTTTGTGCTTGGCTACTGGCCACTCAGCAGATGTCCTCTTCTTCCACTCTTGCACTAAACCACGGAGAGGGATTTAAAAGCAAAGAGCAGCAGTAAGTTTTATTGGTTTGAGTGGCCTATATAGTGCATGGAATAGTTCAGCTGTTTGATGTAGCACTTTGAATTCACTTTTTAATTTAGGAATTTAAACATGCTAAATAGGTAAGTCAATATTAAGGTTGTCTGCAAGCCTGAATTGGTGCTCTTGCATATTAATTAAGATAAAACAGTTAACTGCATGTTTTGATACATGGCTTTTGTATTTCTATTTGGTTTTACATCCCTGCATTTGATATTGCATAGGAGAGCAGGATGACTTTTAGGAACTGTTTATTCATTCACTGTCAAACTATCTTTAGGTACCTTGGGTATCTATTTGGTACCAATGGGTATCCATTCTTTATTGGCTTGTGATAGCATCAAACGGGTAATTATCTGGTTTAATACAGCTACTTCACCCTATGGTCATACTTCCTAGTGCAAAAGTTGTATCAGATTTTTGTTATGGAAACAATTAGTCTGATACTCCAGAAATTAGATAATACTGTGTTATAACTGAGTAGTTTCTCCTCCTTGTGCAAATTTAGGAGTGAGAAATCATGTACACTGTGCTGTTCATTAATACACTGGATGTTGGGGAGGGATTGGGTTTTTTAGTTACTTCAGTTAAAAGGAGCTATTTAAAGGAACTATTTTTAAGCACCGTGTTAACACGGAGGCTACAGCAGAAATATGAGACATTGTGCACTCACCACGGGGTGGGGGGTTAGTTACTTATTTGTAGTTGATGCTTGCTGGTAATCAGCTGTAATGCTGATTAGATGAGCAGAAAGCCTGTCATATCCTAAAGGAACTTGGTTCAGGCAACATTATGAGGAGTGCAGTGGCTGACCTGCTGTACAGTCATGAGTGGTTGCTGATGAGTGACTTCTGAACATTGCCTTACAGAAATCAGGAATGGGAATCTAAAGGCCATCTTGGGCCTTTTCTTCAGTTTATCTCGATACAAGCAACAGCAACAGCAGCCACAGAAACAGCAAGCACAGCACCATCCATCCCAGCAAGCAGGGCCTCCATCCCAGTGCCAGGTTGGGGTACTGCAGCAGCAGGTCCCAGCATCACTCCAGACTCTGTGCCAACAGTCCCCACAAGCTGCGCACCAGTTCAAAGCACAACCAGAAATGCAGTCCAGGTGGGGAAATTGACTTTAAATTGTTTTTTTTTTGATGTTTTTCTTTTTCATTGTTTCTTCTTGTTGTTTTGGTTTTTTTTTAATTATTATTATTATTAAAGGTCTTCAAAAGCCAAAGAAACTTATTTCTTCAGTTTGACTCAGGAGTGTTGGAAATTGAATACTGTGTAGCAATTGACTTCACACCTTTGGAAATCAAATCAGATGTGCTTAAATGTGTTCTCTGTGGTGGAAATAGGCAGTCCAATGAGTTTAAAATACCTACTAGACCAAGTCACCACAGTACTTTATCAGTATTCCTTTTGCTTCTTTTTACTAGCAAAGCACATATATCATTGCCGTTACAGAATATAGACTTTAAGCATCTGAAAACCAACTTTGGTTCTCAATGCACAAGAGTTTCAGTTCTCACTAAGAAGTGGAAAGCTTCAACAGTGGTAAAAGAAATGGAGCTCATCACGGTTGGTAACAGTGAAAATCAAATCTGGGCTTATTGGTCAAAAATAATCGCTGCTGGCTAACATGGAAAATAATTTTCATGATTTTGTTGCTCCTAGATCAGAATACAGATAAATAGAGGGTGTCTTTGTCCCTTGAATGTCTTTAATCATAGGCGTGCTCTTTCCACGTTAAAATAAAAGCAGTTTCTGACAGCAGTACCACCGTGAACGTGTGTACAGCCTCCTCCTTATCTGACCTTTCCACTGCTAGGAGAGTGAGGGTTTTAGTGGGGAGAAGTGGGCAGGATTAAAGGCTAAAGCCATATTTACATAATCGCTAAATTATGAAGGCTTTTTTTAATAAATCTCAAGGCTTGTGTTAAAATAACATACAATAAGGTGAACACCAGCTTAAGTGCTGCTCTGTGAGGGATATAAATAGTTTAAATGAAGCCTTCCAAATGAGACTACTCAGAGCTCATTTGTTTTTTCCTTATATCTGTCATCATGAATCAGGGTCATTTTGGGTGTAAACATTATTTTCATATAATTGAAAACCATAGTGTTGCTATATTATGTATAAACTTGTACAGGAAATAAGTACAGTAAAACAAAGACGTATTTAAGCATTTTTGCAACTTTTCTATCAAAAATATGCAGAGATGTATGGGACCATTTGAGTATTGCTTCAATGTCCATTGTGTGGATTGTGCTGGGTTTTAAATTGGAAAATATCTAACCTGAAGATCTTAACTGTCTTAGTATATACTAAAGTTAATTGGCTGAGATTCTGCAGAAAATACATATAATGAAAGATTGAGAGGGAAGAGTGGTAAAGTTGGGGTTTGCATGCAAAATGGCATGTTCATTTATCTATAAAAGTTAATTGATTTCAGATTGGAGGAGCTTTGACCTGAAGTTATACTTAGGCAAGAAGTGCTTTTTTCATCCCATGAAATCCATAAAGGCTCTGTCCTCCCTACAACTGGTTACCAAGTTCAGTGGCTTAAAAAGAAAAAAAAAGTGAACTTCCTTTGTTCAATGTTATCTTCCACTTTTTCTTTCCTACCGCAGTGCATCTCCCAGGGACTCATCTCAAAGCAAAGTCATCCGATTCTCTCTTGGTCAGAAAAAGTCCTCTAGGTTAGCATTTCTTCATCTTCTGCAAAGCATGAATAACCCTTTTGCAATATTTCTGGCTGCATGTTTTAGGGTTCCTGTTGAAAATAGCTTATAACTAGGCTGCTTTACAGACAGCTGCAATGTGGAAGGATGAGATGTATTTTCATTCTTTTATTATTTGGTTTGGGTTTTTTTCAAGGTGTGGAATGCGTTCTGGCCCGCAAGAAAATAATTTGATTTTCTTGTCTTTATCAGCTTTTGCTTTTGAGAACAAAACATGGTTCTGGGAGTTCTCTCCCCACTGTATTTAGCTCTCCCCACTGTGTTTAGATCTGCCTTATTGAAACCATTATGATCAGGCCAGTGGCTTAGCTAGACAGGAGAGCATCATGTGTACAGTGTGAGCCTGAACAGCACCATCTCGGTCTGCCTCATCAGAGCTCCTGCACTCCCCAGTGCTCTGAAGCCGAGTACTTCTGATCTCCCTTAAAATGATTAATGGGTATTTTAGCTGTTTTCCTGAATCCCAGCATGACTTGCATGTCAGGTCATATGACCATCTCATCTCAGTCATCATAAGGATTGCTGTGTTATAAAAGTGGTTGATAATCATGGTTACTTTCACTGTTATCATGTAGTATGATGTTCTACTAGGAATTTTTATATAGTTTTACATCGGTAAATTATACCGGTTTTGCTAAGCTTGTGAACTGTTACTTATTACTTTTATTCAGCTTGGCAAGTTTCTATGGAGTTCTGCTGTATAATTTGGATTTATTTTCTCCATCTACTCCTATGACAACAGTAAAGATCTGCAGTATAACCCCTGTTAAAATGCTCCATGGTTCCTTTTCATGTTCTCCCTCAATCACAGTTATGGCTTGACAGTTTGTATTTGCCTAGAAGAGGTGGTAGCAAGGAGAGTATTCTCCAAGCTCAGTACTTGTCCCTCATAGTAGGAAGTTAGAAACATCTCCCTGAGCCTATTTCCCACCCACCCCCCACCCCCCCGGCTAGATTTCACAGGCACTGCTGTGAAATATCTTGGCCTAATACCAAAAGCAGAGTCTTAAAAACAGTCAGTTAAAATGCAGGCTGTGGGGAATCTAAGAGATGAGATCTTCTTCAAGAGTGTTTTTAACATGTATGGTTTTTATTCTCGGTCCGTTTTTATTGGCAGCGAGAATACTGACTTGAATTGAAAACTTGCCACTTTTTGAGTAGTCACATGGTTTGAGTAGCTTTATTTTCTTGAAAATGTGACAGATTTGCAAAGCCTGTGTGGGTATGAGTGGGAGCCTTTTCCTATCCACTGGTACAAGAACATTATCCCTTCTCTCCTGTCGAGCCCTGCTAGGAAACTCACCTCCCAGTACTGGGAGCTCTAGTAGCCTTCCAGCAATGGTTGGCCTGTACTCAAAATGCTTTATCACTGGGTAAAAACTTTTGGGTGAGATATCTTCTGCTCCTTCATAGAATCATAGCATCGAAGAATGGTTTGGGCTGGAAGTGAGTTTAAAGCTCATCCAGTTCCAACCCCCTGCCATGGGCAGGGACACCTTCCACTCGACCAGGTTGCTCCAAGCCCCATCCAACCTGGCCTTGAACACTGCCAGGGATGAGGCAGCCACAGCTTCTCTGGGCAACCTGTGCCAGTGCCTCACCACCCTCACAGGGAAGAACTTCTGCCTAAGACCTCATCTCAGTCTCCCCTCTGTCAGGTTAAAGCCATTGCCCCTTGTCCTGTCCCTACAGACCCTTGTCCAAAGCCCCTCTCCAGATTTCTTGTAGCCCCCTTTAGGCAATGGCTGTTAAAAGTTCTCCCCAGGTCTTCCTACCTGTAGGAAACCTAGCTCATTTCCTATTAAAAAATAAAAAAACAACAAAACCAAACCAAAAACCAGCTGTTGATGAACTTTAGTTTTACATCTTGGTGACTTCCAAGTTCTCAAGAACGGTGTTTGCCCCTGGTTTGCTTCTGCCTTTTCGCATGTAGTCTGCAGGGGATGAAGTATCTCTGGAGTGTTCTCATTTACACTTTGCTGCAATGATGAGCATGTACAACTTTCTACCGCCCCCTGGTGTTGTAAAAGGCTGGATAAATTGAGGGGCTTATCTAAAAGGCTTCAGCAAAGTCAACCTCAGAACCATGATGTGCTGTGCCAGATACGTGGTGGTTTGAGTTTGTAAATTAATTTTTGGATTTGTATTTGAATGATGCCCTTTTGTTGTATCCTCTCTTGAGCTTTGCAAAGCATGCGCATGCAGCTGCTGGCATTTTTGCTCTTTTCCTTTATGCTTCTTTTTGTATTTCCTTATTTCTTCACTGGTCTTGGAGAAGTCAGTTTATTTAGGAAGCCCTGCCAGACTTCTTCCTGGCTTCTTTTCCTTCCTAGAGAAACAACAGTGATTTGGTTGGTTGCATCCCCATTCTCTCTGACAATTGGAATTTCTTCATTTTAGCCTATTAATGGCACAAGTTATTTAAGAGAGCTGTATTTTTGTGTTTTATATAAAGAGGTTTTAAAAAGATTCTACCATCCAGAAAACAAAGATGGCAAAGAGCAGTCCCTTTCAGTGCTACTGTAGGAAATGTGAACTGGTTCTATTTTCTAGTCTTTAATGTAATATCCTTGCTTTTCAAAGCAGTGAGCTTTTTCACTAACTGTCTTTGGTATGCATTTTGAACTACCAGATCTTTCAATTTTTAATGTATTTCATCTATTTGGTATGTAGAAATATGGATTCATTAGTGCATGAAATGCAGTACAAACATGAAAATGTATGAACTTTGACTTTGAAGGACTCAAGCACGTATACTGTTTTGAGAAGCAATGCCAGTGGCTTTTTAGAAGAGGCTTCCTCCTCTCCTTTTGCCCAAAAAGCATGAAAGTACTATCCCTCCTTCTCTACTTACAGCAGAATCCTAACTACATTTTCTTTTTTCCTACCTAAATCTTGTAAATACAGGCTACAGTAAACAAATGCTGGAAGAGATTGCCCCAGTTTAAACCAGAGGCTTATACCAGCTCACTGATATTGTGGTTGCCCTAAGAGGGAGCGCTTAAGCTCTGCATGATTTTTAGAGGCTCAAATCATTAAATCAAGTTTAAGTTTTATGGTTCTTGGCTGCTAGGCTCTGTAGCTTTCAGAGCAGAGATGTAATGTGCTTCTGTGTAAGGGAGTTTGTCACTGTTATTTCCAAAAGAAGGGTGGCCTGATGCGTCTGGCAAATAACGAAGTGTCCAGTGATTGGTTTAAGAACAGTAGTGTCTCAAGTAGCCTTAATCTTGTACCAGTGGTATTGCTCCACTGAATTTTCTTGAACTGTTTCTGATTCATGCAACTTAAGAGTAAGTGACTGTTAATTTTGGTTCGGGGGGGAGGGGGTCTGATGGAAACCAATTCAGGCTATAGCTTGTTTGATGTATATTTTTCATCAGGGATGATTTTTTTATTTGTTCTCATAAAAAACCAAAGACCCTTATAAGTATATACTTGTGGTATTTATCCTTTTCTTTTCAGCTTATGCATGATATTCCATAGTTTCTTTCCCAGAGTGCTTCCTAAATATATTTAATCATATTGTAATTCTTTCATCAGACTTCCAGGCCCCACCACGAGGGTGTCCGCTGCAGGCAGTGAGGCCAAAGCTCGTGGTTCTATTAATGCCAACAGTCGACGCAGCCAGAGCTTTAACAATTATGACAAATCTAAGCCTGGACTTCCCCCTACAACACCAACAAGTAGCAATGACAAAGGTAAGCACTTGAGATTTTGGCATCCTCAGATTTTTCTTAATAGTGGCTTCATTTGGGGTGAAATTGAATTTTCCAGTAAGCTCCAGGAGCTGTAAGGCTGTCCCAAGGATGTATATTGTAAACATGACATTTGCAGTCCAGAAACTAGCTGGCTTTTCTTGAGGAAGGTATAGTCCTCCTTTAATATAGCTGAAGTTGTGGCTTGCTGTCCTGAAAGTATATGTGAAAAATAGGGTCAAAGAAAACATGGTTTTTCATTTTGCTTCAAACACAGCTAAGGAGGAATGTATTAATCATAAAATAAGACATTTTAAGTAGTAGTTTGACAGGAGTGGAAAATGACCACTAAAGATTTCTTCAGTAGTTTTATATGATAAATAGTACTGTTTGCTTTGCACTCTTGTGGAAGAACTTGTAAACTATAAAAATACATGATTTAAATCTCATTTCAAGAGTTGTATAGCATGGGATTTGAAGGCAGGAACATGTTAGTAACTTTATAAATGTTGCAGTGGAACTGTGTCTAGGACAGTGCATCAGAAATGCCAAGTACTGTGTTCTCTCTGAAGTTGTGCTTTTTTGAATGACATTTACTGACTTTGTGTCCCTTACTAAGATAGTAATCTGACAGCATTCATTGGCTTGAATTTGTAGCTCTGAGCTCTATAATGCTGCATTTACCAGTGGAGTTTGGGAGATATGGCTGGTGAGAACTGAGCAAATAACTCTAAGTCTGGTACAGTTAAATGGTTGCCGTGGGCTGGCAGCTAATTCTGTGTCCTTGACAAAGTCATTGTGCTTGCAGAGAGAGATCAGCATTCAATTTCAGTAAGATCTTCTTACAGTGACTTGGCAGTCACAGCCTTTAGGCTTCAGTCTCCTTCTGGCCTGTGCATAACTTCTACTAACAGTAATGAGGATTTTGCTTGATGGAAAAGTACTGGTCTGGTTCAGCTTGCCTGTGGTTCTCATGCTTGTTTCTTCTTTTCAGAACATTGTGTTTTTCCATTGTCTAGAAACTGTTCTCTATGCATGTCATTAGATTTTTGGAATGCTACCCCATCTAACCATTACAGCCCCAAACGTCATCTTGTGATGATGGGAATGTCTTCAAGGATGTCTTCAGCATCCTCCAAGGACATTCTGAATCACCCTGATCAGATGTACTTTAAGAAGCAAATAAAGTTTACAGCTGAATAACATTATTATAATATAATGTATTAGCATAATGTGCTAATAAAGTAGCAACATCCTACCTTGGTAAATCATAGAATCATAGAACAGTTTGGGCTGGAAAGGACCTTAAGATCATCTAGGTCCAAGCCCCGTGCCATGGGCAGGGACAATCCATGCTTACTATTTCAGAAGAATACACTATGCAAATAGTAATGTGACATCAGCATGCAAAAGTCATCTCTAAATCTGAATTGGATCTGGCTTTCAGTTCAGAGAAAAAGCTGACAAGCTATGGCATGAGCAGTGGAACTAATGGAACCTTGTTTTCCTATGTAACGCCTTTCCAGCCTCCCTCTATCTCCTCCTTGTCAATATTCTCCTCTTCTGATCATATCCTGTAACTATGGGATTAGGAAGAAGCAATGTGGGATGTCTCATCCTGAAGCATATGTTGGTTGCCTAGATGACTGGTTGGATGAGACTTTGAGCAGCCTGGTCTAGTGGAAGGTGTCCCTGCCCATGGCAGGGGGTTGGACCTGGATGAGCTTTAAGGTCACTTCCAACCCAAACCAGTCTGTGATTCTGTGATAGGATTCTATGATCCCAACCTGCATATAGGTGGTCTGCTGTTAGGCTGCATTGAAGAGAGAACTTGAACTGTCTTGGCTTTCTCTCAGTTTACCAAGGTTACTAAATAAGGAAAGTAAAGTGCTGGTTTCAGTCTTAAAAAGAAGAGAAGAAAGAAAAGAAGTCCTCACACACAGAGAAATAACAATAATTTGTCAATTGAGTAACTTAAATATCAGCTGGTTTTACACACTGTTCTGTGAACCCCCCTTCTTCATTGTAATCCATCTCTTCAGAAAGATAAACTGGTTGCTAAAGAAGCATGCAACATCATCTGCTTTCTATGAATATTACAAATGACTGAAAGAAACAAGGTTGGGGTTTACGTTGACAGCCTACATAAGTTGCATTTATTACTCAAACTTTTGCTCTAGTCAGAATTTCCAGTCATAAATTATAGTCTTAAAAAAATAAATAAAATGAGAGCTTATGTAAGTGGAACATGAACTTTACTTAATCATGACATGAAGTTGGTCTGCATCCATGAAAAACAAAAGCAGTTGGTCTGACAAATTTTTGGCTTACTTTAAATTAATTGTAACATTGCCAGCCAAAGTTGATTGTCAGAGTGTTAGGACAATTCAAGTTTTCTGACCCATATCCTGTATTTTGCCTGAGGAAATGAGACTCCCATGACCATGTTGTGTGCCAGTCTTGGTAAATTTTCATTTCTTGAATCAGTGTCAGCTCTATTGCGTGTTTTTGGAGAAGGAAATGGGAGAAAGGGAAATTTGCCTGCTTTGGCAGAGTGTTTTGGCACGAGTGGTCACTTTGTGATAGCGGGTAGCCTTGGGTGCATTGTGTTTGAATCGTTTCTTTGCAAAGTACATTGTGATTTTTATCTGTTATTAATCTGTGGCCTTTCCCTCCAAATGTGCATAGTCTTGTTAGTCAATCGTCTGTGTCTTGTGGCAATAAAAGTGCATTAATTGAAACAGAATACATCAGAAATGAGAAGGACAGTCAGTGGAGCATAGAGGAATAGCTACTGGAAAATAAATAACCTACATTTTTTTAAAGATTCCATTAAGTAATTATGAGACCACTGCTTTTCCAGAAATCTTAGGGAAAGGATTTATGTAACATTGAAAGGAATTACACTATTGCATAAAAACAAGAGATTCTTGGATGCATGCACATTTGTTTTGAGATTTATACCTACTAGTAACAAAGGAGCATGTGAGAAGCTACAAGTCTCACTTCCCCACTTCATACTTACTTTATAGCTTTACACTGTGTTTTCAGTATTTTATTTTACCTTCTGAATGTTTACATGCTTTTTGACACCAGTTTCAACATGTGGAGAAGAGATGGGCCTTCTCTAGTAAGGAGGACTTAGAACCTAGTTCAGTCCTATGGACATCTTTAAGGTTGGGGAGTGATAGATTTAACTTGCTTTTTGGAGTTATCCCCACGCTCCATATGTGATATTCCCCTCAAACTTACAGGAATTTCAGTGCCCTCATTCCTTACATCGTAAAATAGTAACATGCTGTGGTACACTTTAGATTAGATATAAGAAAGAAATTCTTCCCTGTGAGGGTGATGAGGCAGTGGCACAGGTTGCCCGGAGAAGCTGTCCCATCCCTGGCAATGTTCATGGCCAGGTTGGACAGGGCTTGGAGCAGCATGGTCTAGTGGAAGGTGACCATTTATAATTGCAGTAACATTTTAGGCAGGGTATTTCAATGTGTGTAATTGCTGTTAGAGGCTTCTTTTCCCTAAAGAAAAATGCAATTTTTAAGTCTAATTGCAGTTTTGGATTGTGGGGAAATAATAAGCTAGTCAGGCTTGTGATTTTTGATGTCACGGTAGTCTCTTCATACAGCAGGGTAAATATGTAGCCTTGTAACTCATTTCTGAATTGTCGCAAGTTCTATAGTCCATGTGTATGTAAGTATACCTTTGGTCTACTTTCATGTTCTTTGATGTCCTTCAACTGTACCAGCTACTAGGAAGAAAATAAACTATTCCAGCCAAAAGCAGGACCACAAGCATACTATATCATGAAAAGCATTAGCCACCTCCCAAGGTCACTGCTGAACTCGCGATTATGAGTTCAAATTATCATGCATCATGTATGAATGTGTAAAATGAACTTTGTGTTTCTATCCCTGTATGTAAATGACGTGTTACTGGTTTTATTGAGGCTTTACATTGCCATGTCTAATATAATCACCAAATAAAAAACAGCCAAATTTTATTTGACAGTGCAATTCAGCGTAAAGAAATTAATTTTTTTTTTGTCCATGGCAGGGAGTAGAATTGTGTCTGAGGTAGTATCAGGAATGAAACTGAAGTATTGAAGCATACAACTTCAATAAAGGCTCTCATAGAATCGATCTTCCTGTGAACATATTTCAGTGTTGTGCTTAGCTGTACACAATGCAGAGTCTTTTGAGAAATGCTTCTGAAAGCAGCCTGCAGTCCTGCAGAATGGAGGGGATTTTTTACTAGCTCTGAACACCCTCATATATCCACTGTCTGCACTGACTTTCAGGCCTTCCGTTTTCATACTGAAATCTCAAAAGTCTGTTAAGATTGCATGGGAATATTGTTATTACTTTCTGATTTCAATCCACAATCTATAAAATCCCTGAACTTCCAAAGCTGTAGGAAACATTACTAATATGCCATCTCCAGTGTGTTTATGAAGTGATACGGTAATGTGACCGTCTCACACACTTCCTTTTTAGTTTTTCCTTCTACTTTATTCCTACTATTTTATTTAAAATAATCCTACAGAGGGCAGTAGAAGTCTGTGGGAAAAATTAAACTTTTCCTTTGGATTGAATGTTAGCTAAAATATCAGTAGGAAAAAAGCACTAGCAGGTTTTGACCATTTCCACGTGAGATCCAAGGAAATGTTTAGTATACAACTTCATGGAGAAGGCAGTGCTAGTGATGACAGGTTTCTCTTAAATAGGTAGTATTAGAAAAACTAAATAAGCATACAGATTCGTGCATTCACATGAAATAAATGACTGTTTAATAGCAGAGTTCTTGCAAACTGACATGACTTAAGTCTCATGAGGGTTCTGAAACCAGAGCCAGCTGACTCAGCTGTAATCTCAGCTCTGCATATCTTGATTTTTCAGGTATAGATATAGTATACCAGCAGGAGAGTAAGAAAAATATGGTCTCCTCTGCTTGATGCTTCTCTTCTTTTATTTCTTTCAAATCTGGGGCAACCTCTT